AATGCCGGGGCCCAAAGGGAGAAACCCTTCCCCCTGTAAATTACTAAATGTAAAAGGAGAAACTTTCGTTTTTTCTTTTGGGCCACCCCGCCTCGGTGGGATACGGCCGGTGTGTTGAAAGAAAGATATATATATATATAAAATATATATATATATATATATATATATATATTATATATATATATATATATATATATATATATATATATATTATATATATATATATATATATATATATATATATATATATATATATATATATATATATATATATATTTCAACAAGTCGGCCGTCTCCCACCGAGGCAGGGTGACCCAAAAAAGAAAGAAAATCCCCAAAAAGAAAATACTTTCATCATCATTCAACACTTTCACCACACTCACACATTTTCACTGCTTTTGCAGAGGTGCTCAGAACACAACAGCTAAGAAGCATATACGTATAAAGATACACAACATATGTAAAATTGGTCAATTAGCAAGAACTCATTTAAAATTAAGTCCTTTCTAAAAATTTCTCTTATACGTTTAAAGATATATTTTTTCATTAACGTTAATGCAAAAATTTATAATTTTGCACCAGAAGAATCTTAGAAAACTTACCTAACCTTATTATAAGAAGCGCAATTTATTTTAGCCTTATCCTACTAAATATATTTTAAATACGTTTACAATAATTTAATACTAAACACACACAATGAAATATATTTTTTTTCGTTAGGTTTAGAATGATTTTTGCGAAATTCTTGCATACATAAATTTTCACTTGTCCTATATGGCAAGATGAGCGTTGCTATTTAAGCCAAGATCGCAAGTTGTGCCTATTCGGCACGACATATATATATAAAATATATATATATATATATATATAATATATAATTATATATAATATATATATATATATTATATATATATATATATATATATACATGCATATATATATATATATATTATATATATATATATATATTATATATATATATATATATATATTATATATACATGTATATGTATATACATGTATATATATTTATTTCTTTAAACATTATTTCTTTAAACACACCGGCCATCTCCCACCGAGGCAAGGTGACCCCCCCCCCCCCCCCGAAAAAAAAAAAAAAATAAATAAACACTTTATTAAATTTTCTTCTATTTTTGCATTTAGTAATTTATATTGGAGAAGTTATTAGCCTCTTTTTCTCGGCATTTTAGTTGCCTTTTACAACATGTTTGGCTTACGGAGGAAATATGGTCAGAAATCTTGTGATTAAAATTACGCTTTAGTAGGTAAGAAATAGGTATCTCTCTCATTAGCTTAATGTAATTGGGATTATATTCACCTGAGAACTGATCCCCAGGACTCTCTGAGCTGAGGCGCTGCTTTAACCGTTCAACTAGGTTGCTTTTCTGAGGAAGAAGTTAGGAACCATACCTGTGAACCACTTGCCGCCGCAACCACGGTCTGAGGTGCAAGCCCTCGTGGTGGCAGGTCGCTGCTCGGAGTCACAAGACGTCTCTGTCACTTGGTTGTCAAGAGCGTCTCCCGAGCAGTGAACTCGACGACGCTGGACACCATCACCACACTCCTCAGAACAGTGGTCCTCCCAGGCGGAGAAGAACCAGGTGTCCGTAGCACAGGATCCCATGTCACACAACTCCTGTACCACCAACATACAGCTACTGTATATATTTCAGTTAAATATCTCGATTGGTGTTTGACTCATTTATATCTAAACTTTTTTTTTGCAGCTTACTGATAGTGATCAAAAAGTGTTACAGTTTGTTAATTATCTTATGTCTATTTTTACATGGATGATACAAATGAACTTTCAGAAATTAGTGAGTATGGTTAGGACAAGGAAGCAGAACCAGTCATTAGCAACATGGTTCTCAAACATAGTAGACAAAATAAATCAAACAATAACCTTTATTTTGTTATGTAAAGAGTTAAACCTGTGTCCGCGCCTAGCAAACGGAGGATTGATCCTTCACCCTCCGCGAAGAGTGTAGGATCGATCCTCCCTCCGCTAGGTGTGAACCAGGCTTTAATAAATTTATGCAAACGGGTACTATGATGGAGATGCGTATGATATCCATGTTACATATGTAGTGTAATGGTAAGATTTACCAACAATATAGAACCTTTACTGACAACATTTTGACCAAACAGGTGGTGAAACTTCGTCAAAATAGGTTCCATTTAATTATATTTTTGTTTCCTACACTATTCCATTCCTCATGTCAGATCTGATACCTTCCATTTCTCAGGTGCTGCATGACCAAGGGTTTAGTTCTTCCCCATAATAATGATAATAATAATTTTTGTTTCCTTACTGTCCTGTTACCAAATGACAACACTAGAGGTAGGCTCTTAAGTTCAAATTAACATCCCATCAGCTTGACCTCAGTAGCAGAAAAATTACAGAGATTAGTCACACAACTAATTCGGCAATCAGTACTAACTCGATACAATATTGAGTGAGATGTGACGATGTGTATGTGGGCGAGACAGCCAGAAGTCTCAAGGCGTGAGTCATTGACGTTCTTGAGGGGCTTGAGATCCAATGAATTGAACTTGTCCTCCCTTTCCTTGAATCAGACCTTAATGTTTCTCAGTTCCCTAGTCATTGCATGATCCCCGTGAGCTTAACGATCCCTCATGAACCTAATAATTATTATAATAGATTAGTGAGTTAGAGAGCAGAAGTACGCATGCTGCTGTACACTAACGGCCCCCTTCAAGGGTGGCGACATTGCAGACCTGGAGTGTACAAAAAACTTTCACGGCACACATAAGTACGATAAGGCACCTAAACTACTGGGAACGGTTGAAGGTCCTTGATCTGTATTCCCTGGAACGCAGGCGAGAGAGATACATGGTAATATACACTTGGAAGGTCCTGGAGGGATTGGCACCAAACTTGCACACGAAAATCACTCCCTATGAAAGCAAAGACTCGGCAGGAGATGCAACATTCCCCGATGAAAAGCAGGGGCGCCACGAGTACACTGCGAGACAACACAATAAGTGTCCGGGGCCCAAGACTGTTCAATTGCCACCCAGCATACATAAGGGGGATTACCAATAGACCCCTGGCTGTCTTCAAGAAGGCACTGGACAGGCACCTAAAGTCTGTACCTGACCAACCGGGCTGTGGTTCGTAAGTCAGCTTGCGTGCGGCCAGCAGTAACAGCCTGGTTGATCAGACCGTGATCCACCATGAGGCCTGGTCTCAGACCGAGCCGCGGGGGCGTTGACTCCCGAAACCCACTCCAGGTAAACACACTACGACACACGAGGGCATCTCATGAAACGGAATGAGGCCAGATTTATATTAAACAATTATTTCTGCAAGTGAGGTTGTCTCGAGGCAGCTCTATTCGAGGTAACTGACTCTGTGACCCAGAGCTCCAGATGTTTTGCTACATCCGGTGACCTTGCTCAGTTAGTTTTACCCCACCTTTGCTTCCTTTCTATGGCTTGAGCCCGAATGTTTCCCATTTCCCTAGACGCTGAATGACCCCTATGTTCATTCAGCGCTGGGTTTAGCGCTGCTACCATGAATATAATAATCTCTCCCACCACTTGCCACACGACTGGTGACTGGCGTACCAACACCTCACCTTACAACATCTCACACCATCTAATTCACCAAACCTCTGTCCACTATATATTCTACTTTTTATGCACTTCGAATTAGACTGATAAATCCCTCCCTATGAGCGAAACGTCTACAAATAAAATGTCCTAAATGTTGACTGCGTCTCTATTTGCGATTTATAAGTGTAGAAGAATAAAACACGAGCGGTTAGAATCAAATATGAACTGCCATTCATTGGTTGCTGCTGATGGTACTTGTGTTGGTGGATTGTAGCGGGGTAATGGTGTTTATGGTTGTAATGGTGAAGTGGTTGTAACTAGTGGTTGTAGTTGTAGCGGTGGTGATAGTGGTTGAAACTGTAGTAGTTGTAGTTGTAGTGGTGATAGTGGTTGTAGAGTTAGTGATAGTGGATGTAGTTGTAGTGTTGGTGATAGTGGATGTAGTTGTAGTGTTGGTGATAGTGGTTGTAATTGTAGTAGTGATGGTTGTAGTTGTAGTGTTGATAGTGGTTGTAGTTGTAGTGTTGGCGATAGTGGTTGTAGTTGTAGCGGTGGTGATAGTATTTGTAGTGGTTTGGATGGTGGTTGTAATTGTAGTGGTGATAGTGGTTGCAGTTGTAGTGGTGGTGATTGTGGTTGTAGTGTTGGTGATAATGGTTGTAGTGGTGGTAGGGGCGGCGCGACAAGCCAGACAACATGAATGGATGACTGTGTTTATGCAACTGAGAGTATAAGACCCAGTCAGTGTGTTTATGCAACTGGGCGTGTGTGTTTTTGCGTGTGTGTGCTTGTTGGTTTATGTCTTTGTATGTGTGTGTAAGTTCATATACGTAAGTTGCATGCGTATGTGTGCGTGTATGTGTGTGCGTGTGCGCTCGCTGTACCACGTCCGATTGTGAATATTTTTATGCATGTCTGTACTCAGTTACGCCTGCAGGGGTTGGTTCATAGCTCCTGGTCCCGCATGTTAAAACTTATTGAACGACTGTCCTTATTTTTTGCCTTCAGGTCACTGCCATTTCTACTCATGAAGTTGTGTATGGTATCCACTTCCACCTTCGGATACTGTGCTCCACTAACCACCCTCAGACTGAAAAAAAAATTCCTAGCTACCTATGGGTTATCTTTGTCTTTATTAGTCATCTGTATTTCCATGCTCCTTCCATCCCCTCGCGTTTCAACTCGCCTGTCTATAGCATCTAGTATATCATGATCATATCCACACTTGTCTTCTCTGTTTTAGTGTAAGTTATTTACAGTTCTTGTAAGCTGTCGTCAGCTCCACTGCCAGTCTCGTTGCAATATTTCACTCGCGTCTCACATTTGATCAGGTGCAAGCTCTTTGCTAGTAGAACATATCCTAAGATCATTGTAACGTTAGTTATGTGTACTGCTATCCTGATGATATGCTTGCTGTTATGTTTACCCTCAGATCTTTCTCATTGTATGTTGCCTGAATTGTCTTCTAATGGGTTCGATCCTGATTACCTGTGATTCCCCAAGCGTTATTTGTACCTTACGGTTTTAAAACTTTCCCCTAAATAAAACAACAACAATAATAATTCTTCTTCCTGTTCTTATTACCTTGCATTTGTCAGGATTACATTCAAGTATCCATCTACTTGATAACATTTGCAGCCTATTTACGTGTGTGAGAATGTTTGAAGGTTCATAAAAAATTCCACATACACACTCAAATAAGAAGAAACGTAAAGTTTTTTACAGTTACTAATTTATACAGGAGAAAGGATTTATTAACCCCTTGCTCCCGTATGACTTATGGAGGAAGAATTCATACACACACACACACACACACATTATATATATATATATATATATATATATATATATATATATATCTCAGTCCTACAAATATTATGTACCTAGTAGCAATAGGCATGTTTCATGATGCGAGGACATACGTGGCTGTGATAAGCTCAGAACTAATTTCATTCTACTCCCGCTTCAACTACCAGCCTTCAAGAGCAGTATACATAATAATGCAACCACGAACAAGTGATTTTTAAGCAATAACAAACTGGGACTAGCCGGGGATTGAACCCGTGTTATTCCTGCCTGCCTAGTGGGAAGCAGGTAAAAAAAATCGTGACGGGTTGAATCCCTGGCTAGCCGCAAATGGTCATTGTTTATATATATGTATATATATATATATATATATATATATATATATATATATATATATATATATATATATATATATATATATATATATGTATGTATGAAAAGTATAGTAGTACCAACACTCTTATATGGGTGTGAAGCTTGGGTGGTAAATGCAGCAGCGATGAGACGGTTGGAGGCAGTGGAGATGTCCTGTTTAAGGGCAATGTGTGGTGTAAATATTATGAAGAAAATTCGGAGTGTGGAAATTAGGAGAAGGTGTGGAGTTAATAAAAGTATTAGTCAGAGGGCAGAAGAGGGGTTGTTGAGGTGGTTTGGTCATTTAGAGAGAATGGATCAAAGTAGAATGACATGGAAAGCATATAAATCTATAGGGGAAGGAAGGCGGGGTAGGGGTCGTCCTCGAAAGGGTTGGAGAGAGGGGGTAAAGGAGGTTTTGTGGGTAAGGGGCTTGGACTTCCAGCAAGCGTGCGTGAGCGTGTTAGATAGGAGTGAATGGAGACGAATGGTACTTGGGACCTGACGATCTGTTGGAGTGTGAGCAGGTAATATTTAGTGAAGGGATTCAGGGAAACCGGTTATTTTCATATAGTCGGACTTGAGTCCTGGAAATGGGAAGTACAATGCCTGCACTTTAAAGGAGGGGTTTGGGATATTGGCAGTTTGGAGGGATATGTTGTGTATCTTTATATGTGTATGCTTCTAGACTGTTGTATTCTGAGCACCTCTGCAAAAACAGTGATAATGTGCGAGTGTGGTGAAAGTGTTGAATGATGATGAAAGTATTTTCTTTTTGGGGATTTTCTTTCTTTTTTGGGTCACCCTGCCTCGGTGGGAGACGGCCGACTTGTTGAAAAAAAAAATATATATATATATGTATCTATATATATATATATGTATCTATCTATCTGGCTCTCTCTCTCTCTCTCTCTCTCTCTCTCTATATATATATATATATATATATATATATATATATATAAGAGAGAGAGAGAGAGAGAGAGAGAGAGAGAGCCAGATAGAGACAGAGAGAGAAAACAGTATCCAGAAATGTCAACAAAGCGTCATTCCAGGCCTTTTATACAACATATGTCAGGACCGTCTTTTAAGTAAGCAGCACCGACATAGAGTCCATACTTGATGACGCATGTTAAGAAACTGGTGAAAGTGAGTAGCTAAGAAGTATTATTATTACATTTATGGGGGAGCGCTAAGCTCCCCCATGAATCTGACTTAGAGGTCTGATAAAACCAAGGGAAATATAAAATATACAAAATACTCAGGAGTAATTGATAGGGCAGACAGGGATAAACTGTTTGACAGGCGGTAAATAGGTACTTGGGGCACAGCTGGAAATTAAAGACAGGAATCACAGGGATGTCAGGAAGTATTTCTTCAAGGTGATTATGAATAATCTGGACAACGAAATGGCGGCAGGCTCCATACATAATTTTTAGGTCAGGTACGAAAGGGACTTCGAGGCTAGAGTGAATTTGGGAAGTGGCGAACTGAGAGGTGGCGCGAGGAGCTAAGACTTGATCTATGCAACCACATGTAGGTGAGAACACACACACACATATACTCATGCTTATACATGTGTGTATGCAAGTTTTGAAAACGTGGTGAGCGCATGCGCCAGAGCAGCGTTGGTGTCACCTGGTTGCTGGGTTTCTCCCTGGGGTCACAGAGATGTCCCTGGACAGTGCCCTGGGCGGTGACGCAGCTGACGGAGCGGTGTCGAGTGCCCAACCCACACTGTGCAGAACACTGACCCCATTCTCCCGTCTGCCAAACAGGCGCAGAATCGCAGGCTGCCAGTTCGCAAACCTTCAACGAAAGTCAGAATATCTTCGTTATTGTACATCATATACGACAATATCAGATGGAAAATGTAATTGAAATATTGTAATGGTGCAAACGAACTCACATGGAACAAACAATACAGAAGATAAGTATTTCGACCTCACAGTAAAAGCTTCTTCAGCAGTCATCTGTTATTTGTCATTTACTAATGATTTCAGGGATCAACGCCTGAGCGGCCCGGTATCAGACCAGGCTTAAACTAGAGAAGAAATATGACAGGAAACTGAAATATTAAGAAACAGGAAAATAATGATAAGTGTATAGTGAATGTAAGTGTAAGACTAAGATTTACGTTCATCTGCCTCTTCACGAGCCAAAGAAAAGGCAGGAAATTCTGCTATACAACACGTTCAGCAGACTTCCTTTATATTCACATTTACCATGAATTCATGTTATATTTTTTGCATGCGAGTTCGTTTGTGCTCCAGACCATTGTTTATTATACTTGTGTTTAAACAACCTGATTATGTTACAAGCGTACAAATGAGGTCGTTTCATCTCCATAAAAAATCTTATTGGTATATCAATATAGTATAACATGCTAGAACGACATACGTAATCCCATCATACTTTTACAGCCCTGTTTAGATACCATTTTATTATAAATATTAGAATCCCAGTAAATACGAGTATGTATTTTATAGTATTGGGTTAGAAAAGCGTTTTCTAGTATTTTTTTATGTTTACATTAGGCTGAAACTACAGTATGCACATGCTTTTTTCACACGTGTTGAATGGTTTGTGTCGCCTGAGGCTTATGTCAACTTCAAAGTGACGTTACCTTGCTCGTGGATGACATTCGTATTATAGGTACCAGCTGCTCATTGAAGTAGTTAGTCAGCAGCAGCAGCTGATGGGAGCGGAGTCTTCACGGTGTTGGTGAAGGCCTCATACAATAACACAAGCCCATTTACACACACGAGTTTCGACATTTGGTTAACTAGTTAACTGTGTTAACAGTCACCAGTGCGGCTAGTTCCACGGTTCCTGTGGGTCTTAAATAGCCTCTGTCTCACTAGAGTTGCTGTCTCTAACCCACGTTCGTGCGCAAGCAGCCTATCACTCTGTTAAGTGTTTCCTTCACTGTTACAAATGGTTATAACTATGACCATAATTTTTAAAGAGGTGGACCGGTAAGCCAGCGGAAGGCCTCGATCAGATGACCAAAAGCTCCAGCGGCTGGTCATCATCTGACTAAGACATGCGTCAAGAAACACTTGTCCTGTTTCCTGACAAACCTTACCTAACCTTCGCTGTTACTGTACTTTCTCCCATGCATCTATTTAATACTCTGCAAACGGATTTCAGGAAATTAAAATTATTTATGCTGTCATAACGCATTTCTTTCTGTGTTTAGGTGGGACAATATTTAGTTATTGTAAAATTGTCAAATACTCCGAAAGGAAGTATTTTAATTAATAAATCCCACAGTACTTTACCTACTGCTAGAGTTTTATATATTAACTTGAATTATTCCTTATTTTACTGGCTCAAGGATAAATGATATTGACTCAATATTAAATACTGAGTCAGTTGTTCTTGTTAAATGCGCCTAAACAGGTTCCTGTCAGGTTGGGACAGCTCTGTATAACTCTGGTGGGTTTAGCGCTTAGTTTTAATTATAATAATAATGTCAGGTTGGGAGATAATCTCCTGGCTTGACAGAGTGCGTATTTGTAACACTGGGTTATATACAACCCAGTGTTACAAATACGCACCTGGTCCATTTAATTCACTTGCCAATATACATGAACAAAATTCTACATTACACACAAGAAGAGATCTGCTCGGTATTGAAATCTTTGCGCAGGCGCTAGACAGTGATTGATACTGTTTCTGAAATGTTAGTAGTATTAACCGTCGCCACTTGAAGCCTTCACTGATTAATGGTACTAACCTGCAACCTGATTAATTGTGCTCACCTGCAACCTAATTAGTGGTACTCACCTGCAGCCTGATTAATGGTACTCACCTGCATCCTGATTAGTGGTACTCACCTGCAACCTGATTAATGGTACTCACCTGCAACCTGATTAATGGTACTCACTTGCAACCTGATTAATGGTATTCACCTGCAGCCTGATTAATGGTATTCACCTGCAACCTGATTAATGGTGCTCACCTGCAACCTGATTAATGGTACTCGTCTGCAACCTGATTAATGGTACTCACCTGCATCCTGATTAATGGTGCTCATCTGTAACTTGATTAATGGTACTCACCTGGAACCTGATTAATGGTGCTCATCTGCAACCTGATTAATGGCACTCACCTGCAGCCTGATTAATTATGCTAACCTGCAACCTGATTAATACTCACCTGCACTCTAATTAATGGTGCTCACCTGCAGCCTGATTAATGAGGCTCAACTTCAATCTTTTCTAATGTCAGCTCAGCCCCTCTTATACTGCTCGTGGCTCAGTACCATCTCACACTAGTCTTACCATAGCACAGGTGTAAGTCACAGCAATTTAAACTAACATTTGTAATCCTGAGACTTCCGATGCAGTTGAACACTGTTTTTCCCTCATCTTTCCTTAGCTGCACTCATGTGCCTTTCACATGGATGTTCACGCAACTGTACCCGATGCTACCAAGCCTCACATTAATTAAACCTTAGGAGTACCTACCACTGTATCAGTACTATTATATTACCACACCACTGTAAACATGTTCCTTACCACTAATGTCTTGCATCAGTGTATCATTTATATTGCATCACCAGCATAGATTGCATTCTCCATCACCCACCTTTTTCCCAGCACAGGTCCCTTTCCCTAATTCACGATCACTCAACCTCTCCAACGGTGTAACTTCTTCCCATCTTTGCATTGGATTGGTCCTGAGAAGAAGGAACCTCTTCCGTGCATTAGATATATTGTAAGGAGCTGGGAGCCTCTTACCTGCATCTTGGGAAGTCCTGAGGAGCCAAGAGCCTCTTACCTGCATCTTGGGATGTTCTGAGAAGCTGAGAGGTCTCACCTGTGCCTTGGGCATATCTGGAGGCGTGAGACAGACTCCTTCTGGCTGGCTGACGGAGTGATCAGGAGAGACACGCATCTTGCACGTTAGATTACGGATCTGTACGCCCAGCCCGCATGTCACGCTGCACGGACCCCACGCCTCCGCCTCCCACCTGCACGCCCCACACGTCAACACGCCCACACGAGCCACAATGAACCACACGTTAGAAGGCTTATAATACATATAGATTTTTAGTCACATGCAAAAAATTTTTAACTTCCTTGAGTAACATTTTAGTGATATGTTGATAGCAGTGATAGAGATAGTGAGTTGGGGTAGTGCTATCAATTATTAAAGATGAGTAATGGCAATAATATAATAATGAGGATGATGGCAATTTCGATAGTGATGAGTTCAATAATTAGTAATGCTGAGTGACTGAGATAGTGGTAACTAATAGTTACAGCCAACGTATTGACGTCACAATAGTGATAAAGTGGTGCTAATGAGGCTACGTATGGTAAGAGTTCAGATGAGAATGTTATGACGGTGACGAAAGAATAAGTGGAACAGACAGGTGGAGCTATTGTGTCATTAATTAAGGGATGGTGATATAGATGTTGAGGAAAAAGACAGGTGTGAGCAGATAAACAGGTCATAACTAATGATAGACAGGTAAGGAATGATGGCTAGTCGGGTGAGGATGCGAGTGACAGATGAGGAATGATGAGTGACAGGTTAGGAATGATAAGACAGGTATAGACGCACGTAGCCGGACAAGGTCGCAGGTTACAGCGCACAGTCTCCTCGGCTGGTCTGGGCAGGTCACCACAGTGACTGTAGGGGACCTCGTTCCCTCTCTTGCTTTTCACACATGCCACCCTTGTCGTCTGAGTGCCTGCAGAAAACACAACAAGAGCAGGTTACTATTAACAATACTCCTCTCATGTAACCTAATTAGTCAGTTTGCTAGGTCAATAGTGAATCGACTCTACATGGATATTTAAAGCCTCAACTACCCTGTACAGTAACAAAGAATGCATTGGTCCCTAAAATATGGATTAATTCAAACTCTCAGTATACATACACGGATATACACACCTTTCTGTTTATATACCCAGTGCTACTCTAGTACATATCCACTAATTTATTGCAATAATAATGATAAATGATAACTGTCACTATTTTATGGTTACATTACATTCTACAAATACCAGACTCAATTATATAATTTGAGTGGCTAGTCCATCAGCCTGCGCCCTGGGTTCCAGCATGTGAATGTAGTCCAGATATATTTGATATATTTAAAAGTATGTGAAATAAAAATAGAAATAAGTCTTCATTGATGAAGTCGAGTTGTTGGTAGTGGTAGTAGTAGTTAAGCAGTAGTATATTAGCAGTGCTAATAGTAGTAGTATAGTTGCAGTAGTATTAGTAGCAGCAACGGTAGAAATAATACAACAGTAGTAAAAACAGCAGTAATAGTGGCTACAGTAGTAGCATCAGACTTAATGACAGAACAAGAAATAGAAGAGTAATACAAGGCAAGATAGATGTAATAAAAGAAACAATAGTATTAGGTGCAGTAATAGCGTTACTACAAGTAATGGTAATAGCATTAATAGTAACAGATACAGCATTATTATTAGTAATAGTGATATAGTAGTAATATATTATCAGAGCTATTTGTATTATTAGTATCAGAGGTGGAAGTAAACTGCAGTATCAATAGGAAGAACAAGAGATGAACGTGGTGACAGTAAGAACAGATGAGTGATAAACTCACCTCCGCCACAGGTTTCTGAACAGCTGCTGAAGCCTACCACCTTCCATTCATATCTCGCCCTTCTCTTCTTCACTCCACCAACATTCTTTCTGCCGGTTTTCTTTTCCCTCCTTTCTTTCTTTTTCTTTTTTTTCTCTTCTTCCTCCTCTTTCCACCTTTGGGAGGAGAGTACAGAGTTGCCGTTCCCGTTGATAGAGCGAGCGTCATTCACAGGTCCTGAAAGAGTTATATTAACTCATTTAATATCTATTATGAATCCCACATTGCTGAAAATTAATAAGATAATAAGCAATGTCCGAGACACAAATTTAATCCCTTGCTAATATCTAATTCCAGTGACTCGCCAATGGTTTGAACACTATTAGTTCCCATAATTTACACTTCTTTGAGGAAAACCTTATTGTTTCGGTAAGTGAGTCCGAGAAGCAGGAAGGGTCGACAACAGTAAATATTGTACATGACACTCTTGTGTTCCATGTACCGAAAACCAACACACTGGAGGAATGCGAGCAAATTGTGCAGTATTTGTTCTGGTACTGGGTTCGTTTAGCTGGTGTCACTTGCAGCTCTTAATCCCAAGGCTTCGTTTGTCTTACCCAAGGTGAGCTACATCACTCAGTAACTCCTATTCCCCTATTGATCAAAACTGGTTAACACTCTCTCTCTCTCTCTCTCTCTCTCTCTCTCTCTCTCTCTCTCTCTCTCTCTCTCTCTCTCTCTCTCTCTCTCTCTCTTCTCTCTCTCTCTCTCTCTCTCTTCTCTCTGTCTGTCTGTCTGTCTGTCTCTCTGTCTGTCTCTCTCTCTCTCTCTCTCTCTCTCTCTCTCTCTCTCTCTCTCTCTATATATATATATATATATATATATATATATATATATATATATATATATATATATATATAAGTAATGAAACCACGAAACAAGTGGTATTGACCAAACAGCAGCCAGCCGAGATTAGACCCTGCGACACATGCAGTTTGGTAAATATACATGTATATATATTTATATATGCAAAGTAATTACAGTGAAAAATAGTGAAATTCCAAGCGCTATCGTGATTTCTCACATTATCAAGGAACAGTTCCTTGATAATGGTTATATATACATATATATATATATATATATATATATATATAATTATATATATATATATATATATTATATATATATATATATATATATATGTGTGTGTGTGTGTGTGTGTGTGTGTGGTGTGTGTGTGTGTTATATGTTTGTACTCACCTAATTGTGGTTGCAGGGGTCGAGACTCAGCTCCTGGCCCCGCCTCTTCACTGATCGCTACTAGGTCCTCTCTGCTTCCTGAGCTTTGTCATACCTCGTCTTAAAGCTATGTATGGTTCCTGCCTCCACTACATCACTGCTATTCCACTTCCTGACGACTGTGACTGAAGAAGTAGTACTTCCTAACATCCCTGTGACTCGTCTGAGTCTTCAGCTGTGTGTGTGTGTGTGTGTGTGTGTGTGTGTGTGTGTGTGTGTGTGTGTTGTGTGTGTGTGTGTGTGTGTGTGTGTGTGTGTGTGTGTATGTGTGTGTGTGTGTGTGTGTGTGTGTGTGTGTGTGTGTGTGTGTGTTTTTCTACTGTAAATTTAAATTGTAATAGTTATATAAGCTTCGATTGTCTAACAGGAAACAAAGAAAATATATATAAAATTGTTCTAGAAAAAAACAATTATATCTTTTAGCGTAAAACTGTTTTTCCAATATTGATAACAGCAATTCGAATAGTTTAGGAAATCGTCACAATAAGGTTCAACACAAGACGGACACAAAGTGTATTTGCAGAGAAACGTCAGACATGTTGTTAAGTACAGTTCTTAACTCACTTTTTGATCCATCTTCATACTCTGTCAAAGATTATCTTCAAGACACAAAAGGCTGATTATATAATTAGTTCCCGGTTGCTATTTTTTTTATATCAACATTCGTTGGATAATAAATCTTAATGCCACTTAGTGAATTATATCACGCTTTCACTTGTGGAAATGAATTCTAGGAGCAGCCGCCTCACAGTGGTGAGTTCTGGCTATTTTGTGTGACCCTAGATATATGATCAGTCATAGAATAGCTGAGAGCTGCTCATTGTGTATATTATCTCTGGATAATATACACTTGCCTTGGATCAAATATCAGTCTCATGACATAGATGCTTTATGACCTATAAAGCTTTAGCACTTCCAAGAATAAAATATATAAAGGGGACACATCAGACCCTCGTTCAATCCTTAGATTAGATTTTCCCACAGAAGTGGCTAGTTTATTGTGCACCTCATATCCATCCTGTGGACGGTAGCTCAAGAGCATATGGATTGGATACACAAAAGGCCTAGGAACTAGGCCCCAAAAGGGGTAACAGGTGTACATTTGGATTTATATCTACAGTTCACTTATCTGTTACAAGCAGATTTAGGAAATTTGCTTAGTATATCTGGTATCATATTTTCATTAATAAGATATCGTGACATGTCACATAGGTTATTATACTGTCTATCTCTATATTCCTCAATTAGTGGACAATTAATTACATAGTGTTCAGGACAGTGACCAAATGCCTGACCACATAATTTGCATTTAGTTTGATCATCTTCTGTGTGTCTCCCAAACTGCCAGAGGTACTTGTAACCAAGCCTATGCCTGGCTACTACAACATCAGACAAACCATAACACGGGAGGGGGTAGAACCCGCGATCAGATAGTCTCAAAACTCCAGACCGTCAGTCTGTTCACATTGCAAGTTGCTCCATAAACATACTTATTTATGTTCATGTTATCATAGTGGGTTATAGATCTATTCAGGCTTCTAATTGCGTTCCTATAACATTCATTTTTATTATTTACTTCTCTCCTAATATTATTCCTAATGCTAGACACAGATATACCAAAGTTATATTCTACATTCTCCCTCAGGGTACTCTTCTTGGCTAACATATCAACTTTATCATGAAGGAGTAATCCAATTTACAAATTCGTCCGTTGAATGTGTAAATACATCTTCGCCTAGAGAAAGTATAATGTGCCCGGAGTACCAATCGAGTTACGTGAAATAACTCTATGGTATCCATAAGCCAAATTTTAAGTAGTTTCTTGGATAATTTTCGTGACAGTATCCAGAAATGTAACGAAAACATTCTTAAACTTCTTAAAATGTTTTTATTTCAAATTTTTATGGCCTTTCAAGAGAGGCTATTCATTGTATTCACTGCAACTACAGATTTGTTGTAGTAAATCTGGCATAGCAAAAAGCAGATAGCTGGTTCTCGAAACGGCCACCAGATATATCCCTAATGAGATGCCTATTAAAGTACTATCAATGGACTACTGCGTTTCAGAATGAAATGCGCGGAAAATACAAACATGTTGCGGGCACACTATGTCGAATGAAAAGTGTGGAGTCCTGAGCACCTCATTAGCAACAAACTATAAGAGACCGTCAGTAAAAGAAAAAAGACTGACGTCCGCTATTACAGTCGGCTAATGAGGCTTACTCCTTCAACATCAACGGGAAACGTAGGTGTAAGAAGTGAAGACCTCGCTGTTTAATGATTACCAGAGGGAAAGATGTACTGCTCTTACTGTGTAATGACTACTGCAGTATCATCTGGCAGAACAGGTATGAGGTGAGGCCCTCACCGCTTAATACTTACTTCTGCAGAATCAGAGGGTTCCCGTGTGTCCTTCATTCAGCATTGCAGTCTTTAACAATGCTTAATAAATAAGAGTAATTTTAAAAGTTACTAAAACGTCATAACTAATTCTTCACGATGTTTCTTCTTTCTGTATAACATTGGTCTCGCACAAATGTCTTGTAGTTACTGTTGTGGTTCTTGTATCGTGGTGCCTCACTTGATCAATAATGACATCTCTTCCATGTCTTGAAGATCTGCTCTAGTGAGCAGAGACGATGCAATGTTCTTCCTTATTTTATTCTTGAGGCATGGTCTGTATTTTATGTTTAATGTAATCTTAAAACTACTCAGAAGCTTTAAATACAAAATCTAGATCGTTTCTCAAGAAAGAATTTTCAAAAACAGCTATAGAATAGATATACAAAACAGAAGAAATGTCGTTCTTGATCAAGTGATGTATCACGGCACAAGAACAACAGCAATAACTACTTGAAACCCTCTTGTGGGAAGAACGAAAATCGGAGGAAGGATAAGAGAGCTCGTGGGGAGAGTTGCACATGGCTGGGTACTCCCTGAGCTCAGCTGCTTCAACACCTTTGATCGGCCCGTATAAGGTTGAAACATGACGCAGGTGGACAGATTACAACATGACAAGTTACTGGCGAGGAAGAGTCATTTAGATTTATTGATCATGGCGGACAAAACAGACCCATTAATTAACTGGAGGTGGAGGGTGACATGAACACTTTTTTATTAGTTAAGAACGCCACACTTGTTTTCCGGAGGCGATCTGCTTTGTAAACTTTTAAACATTTAATTATATCTTCCCTTCACCGAGGAATTTTTTAACGTTACTAAACCTAATGTTGAGAACGAACTTTACCGTTGCAGCCTCGCCTGTGGGCAGGCCTTTCTGTTGATTGCCGGTTCAATCAGGCTGTCGTTGTTGGCGGCCCACAAGCCCACAGAGCCATCATAGACTGGCTGATCTGGCGCTTGATTCAGGTTGAATAGTCTTGAGCTAGGGATATTAACAGTGTTCTCTTATTGATTCCATGGTGTCACTGTCTATTTTACACTTCCTCCCATATCCTTCAGACGTTTCTAGTAATTTAAATACTTTATTGGCTCTATATGGGTATAAACGATCACTCTACCTTTTCCAGGTCTGATATCTTTCCTGCTTGAATGGACTCATGAATACTAAACAATACTCTACATGAGCAGTAGCATCCAGTGCTCCTTATGAGCTGTTTTTCTTTCTGTATATGAACAGCATATTATTGTCCATTGAACATTGGCAGATTTTGTTGATATCTGCTTTCAACTTTTCCTTGTTTACTGTCGACACGATTTTCATACTTCCTTTGGTATCTAGATTAATTCTGATTGTATAGCACAATTCTGTATTAAATTATTAACCGATATATCCTGATGTGTGTGTATAGGAAAATACAATTCCAGTATGACTGTGTACACTTGCCTTCCTTTAAGGGAGTAGCTGGCTAGGAGGAGGCTGTTGTGGAGCTCACCACAGAGATTAACACACAAAATTGCTTGTAAAGGGTGGGCTGGACTTACATTTATCTGAGCGGGGAGAATTAAAATGATAACTATTGTAAAATAGAATGCAGTAGAGGCTGCTTTTGCATGATGCTGCAGGATGTGAATGTATGTGCAGGATGTTGCAGGGATGTGACTAACCGGCTTCGTTGAAGGCGGAAAAAATATTAGCGCTGAAAAACGTACAGAGATTCTTGACTATCCACATAGTCAAAGTACTTAAAATATACTCTCTAAAGTGAAGAGAGATACTTCATAATATATAAATAGAAAATACTTGAAGTTCAGATCCTAATAAAGTTCTGGAGTGAGAGATATGGGAGAAATTGTAAGATACACCCAGTGATAAACAGGGTGTCATTGGCACAATAAGAGAACATTGTCAACATCTGTGGGCCAAGACTCTTCATCCTGCTACCACCAGCTATTAGAAATATTGCCGGAATTGGGCCAGTTCCTTTCGAAGTACCAGATCAATGAGGTTGATAACTACGTGGGCCAGTGGGTGGCCAACATCAAAGGCTTATTAAATAATCACCAAAAAATCTTGGCCTTAGAGGATGTTGCAGAGATGTGGCTAGTGTTGCGAATAAGACTTGACTACCGGCATTCTCTCTAAGGCAGTTAAACTCTGCCGACTGGAGAGCCAAGGACTTGTTGAAATCATTAATAAGTCTGATACAGTGTATGGAAAACATCCAGCTTTCTGGTATTATGTGAACAGGCCTGGAGCCAGGAACAAGTCTGTTAGAGAAGATAAGGAGGAAAAGTGAGGTGATGTACCCGAGGGCGGGGTCCTAGAAGCTGGTCCTCCAGGGACTAGTGGGTTCAGTGGGTTATCTGGGCGTCTGCGTCTCTGTGATGACCTCTGCGTCCCGCCACCAGACGTCCGCGTCGACGTCGGAGACATGGGAAGCCTGTACTCGTATTTGATGCCCGGGTTGTTAGCCTGGTAGAACAGCTGCCAGGGAAGATACATTATATATATATATATATATATATATATATAATATATATATATATATATATATATATATATATATATATATATATATATATATATATATATATATATATATATATATATATATATGCAAAGAAATATGTTAAATATTTTAATGATTGGAAGACATAACCGCAGAAATTATATCTACAATTATTACATACATATACGCGTATCACGTCGTGAGGAAGGCGGTGATGATGAAGGAAAGGTGGCGGATGTGGTGGGGAAGGTGGCTGTGGTGGCAGAGGTGGTGGGATACATGGTTGTTGTGGGAAAGGTGGTGGGGTAGGTGGTTGTGGTGGGAAAGGTGGTTGTTGTTGTAAAGGTGGTGGGGTAGATGGTGCGGTGGGAAAGATGGTGGGGAAGGAAATATATATGCTGAAGTGAGTTACCATAACATCGACAGGTTGGTGGAGGGGCCCCGCAGCAGTAACCTTGTCACCCTGGAAGTGTTCAGGTCGCTGGTAGGTGAAGGTGGTGCCGTCAGAGTGGTAGTTCCCTGACGCATTCACTGCCCAGTTTCCGTTGACAAAGAATTCGCCTCCCTGGTGACGCAGAGCTGCACGGAGAGAAACCAAGGAAGGTCAACTCCAATCAATCGGATGACACTCCAGTCTCACCAGAACACAAATCAGTGCAACGCGGCAGTGAATTAAAAAGATATTTCTCTCCAATCGAAGTTTTTTTTTTTTCAAGATATCTCGATAAAGCTTCCCTTGAAAGAAAACCGAGTTATAATAACAGCTGAGGTTGTTGTGTGCTTCACATAAATGTTGGTTCACAGCCTCTTCTACCTACCAGAGAAGTGAATGTTTTTATGACAAGAGAATCAGGTGATCACTGGAAGTATATACAGGTGGCTGTTGGAGTACACCTTGGTTGTTAGAAGAAAAAATATTAATACAGGAAACCGCTGGAGGAAGTTATACCTGGAGTCATAGCTAAATCGAGATAGTCTTTTCTTCCTTGTCAGAGCTCATTGGAAGAGTTACAAAGTATAAAAATAGTTGGATAATGATTTATCAATAACATGACGATTGATTAATAAAGGAAACGAATGAAGGATGGAATACAAACCGAGGTAATTTGTGGAGGGTTTGACGTGCTGTATGGTGATGTTGGCTGCACCTCGAGGTAGCGTAGCGATCAGGTTGTAGCCATAAGGCATCTTGGCTCGGGAGAAGATTCCAGCAATCACCCTGCAGCTGCTGTTGTCTCCTCCACAATGACCGCAGGAGTCTAGCCGCAGGCCCGACCCCAGTACACCATCGCAGCCCACAGA